TACATTTCTTACCAAGCATTGCAGCCTCCTCCTTTGTTTACCCTTCACATCCCTTCCCAGCCTCCCCCCTCCCCCCCAATCCCAATCCTTCTCCTTACCCCCCCTTCCCCGCCCCCGCACCGACGTTGTATTTTGGACATGACAACTTGTACTTCTCATTAAATCCCTCCCTTCTGGCAAAAAAAAAAAAATCCAAAATACTCTGGTCTCAAGTGTTTTGAATGAGGAACACTCAAGACCTGTAATTCCCTACTTAGATGAATCAGAGACTACTTAGCCAAGTGTCTTACATATAACAATGTGTAAAACATTTGTGTAATTTTTCCAATGTATTGTATTCCTGCCAATGCAAGGATCTTTGAGAGCTGACCTTAGGAACATCTGGAAGCAAGGAAGGTCAAGGCAAGTGCCCAAGTGTGGGCTCTTAAGACAAAAAGGAGTCGTTTTTGACAGTGGGCTCATGGGAGGTACAAATGTACCTTGCAGGATTTACCTAGCCTAGTGGATAAATGGAAAGCAAGTTAAAAAGAAGACCTACAAAGTAGATAGCAGGTTACTCATGGATACCAGTATCAGTGTAAAAACAGAAGCTAGCTTCAATATTTGCTTATTAATTAAGAAACAAACTAGAAGCCCTAGGAGGTAAGAGAATACTTATCATCATTTTGCAGCCAGGGAAACGAGGCCTCTAGGAAGTAGACTCATTAGAACATGAAGTCTGCAGATGGCAGCCAATGGCTTTTTTTCATATACCTTTTATTCAAAGTTCATTAAGTGTATTACAACTTGGGGGAAAAGGAAATAAATGTGCTGGAAACACTTAGACCCTATCTGCTGTAATAATCCATACATGAAAGAACATTCTTTTAGAGCCAAAGGAATTTATTCTTCAAAAAAGGCAGCATAATAAACAAGAGCCAAATATATGCAAATTATTGAAAATAAATAAGTGTTTTCTTAAAAGGCATATGATAAGACTTACTTGTCTGAGACATGGCTGCATACACTTCTTGCTTAAAGAAAACAGCCACTATTATTAGGCTACTTAGGGAACTGAGCCACTCTCTCTCCCAAATTCACGCCTAAGCACCCACCTACAGCCACTGTGTGAGTACTACTTTGGACTGGACTCTGGGCTGCTGTGGGCCCTCTCACATGTCAGATTGTGCCATTACCATACAGCGATGGTTCAAAATGCATTCTGGGCCCTAGAGCCATGGTCTCTCTGAGTGCCTGTTCTGAGTTCCACCTCAGAACTGGGAGCTGCCCCTACTATAAAATGCTCTAAGTCTAAGCATGCCTGGGCTCCTATTTCCAGCTTTTAGATGACATCACAAGCATCTACAACATGCATATAATTACCCATGTAGCAATGAGTGTACTTGAATCCCAAGAAATAGTTCATCAACTGCTCCAATTCCTGAACATGTCCCTGTGCACCGGGTCTCAGCTCTGTGGGTGCTTCAACCATCAGATCCTGGTGCCATGGCTATGACGAACCAGCCTACAAGCCAAAGCCAAAAGGGATTTCCCTGGAAGCAGTAAGAAGAAATTGGAAGCGGGGTTTAGCAGCCATTGCTCCTAATGACTCCAGTCAACAGCGCATGGTGCCACAGCATTCATCCAAAGGATCTCCTGATAATCAAACAGGACACAGCTGCACCCTCACTGGGGGCAAAGCCACGGTCCCATCCAGACAAGTGCCTTCCCACCCCTGAAACACAGGGAAAAGTCTAGCCTGGAAAGTCAGGATAAGACGATTGCTCCATCAAAGGCATGGACATCAGTATAAGGCACCAAGAGATGTGAAAAATGAGGAGACATATCATGATCAAGAACACAGTAATTTTTCATTAGTTAGCCCAAAGAAATGATGATTTACAAATTGCTTGAAAAGGAATTTAAGGGCTGGGAAGGCGGCTCAGTGGTTGAGTGCTTGCCTTGCATGCATGAGGCCCTAGGTTAGATTCCTCAGCAGAAAAAAGGGAAGTGACACTGTGGCTCAAGTGGTAGAGCACTACCCTTGAGCTGAAGAGCTGAGGGACAGCGCCCAGGCCCAGAGTTCTGGCCCCACGACTGACCAGAAAAAAAAAAAAAGAATTTAAAATGATTCCTTAAAGATACTTGGAGAAATTTAAGAAAACGAGAGAAACAATTGAATGAAATCAAGGAAAGAATAAATGAACATGTTGAAAAATTTAACATAGAAGTTCAAGTTATTTAAAAAGGCAAAGAAAAACTGTACAGATATTGTGCCAAAAAATGAAGAATGAAATGAAAAACGCTAATGATAATGTCAGCAGCAGAATTCATCAGAGAGAATAAAAATATTTGCTACTTGAAAAGATGCAAAGAAAAACAGAATGAAAACAAATGAAGAAAGTGTGACTTTACGGGGCAGCATCAAAAGGGCAAACACTCATTATCAAATTGAGAAATAGAAGAGATGGGCAAAGGGCCAGAAAGTTTATTTAAATAAATACAAAACGTCTCAAATCTATGGGAGGATCTAAATATCCTCGTACCAAAAGAAAAGTTTCATGATCCTTTGATCCTAATGAGACTGCACAGGCCAAGAGAAAGGAATGGTCAAAATTAAACATCAAAGATGGGATTATGAAAAGCATCAAGGGAACAGAAGCAAATCACACATAAGGGATTATCACCGAGATTAAACTTGGCTTGTTTATAAGCCAGGAAGTAGAAGGATGACCTATTAAAGTCCTGAAGGGGAAACAAATGAACCTGATGACCAAGAACACTTTCTCTGGCAAAGGTGACCTTCAGAAATAAAGAACAGATAAGGAGTTTCACAGGCAAAAATGGAGTTAATTACCCACAGACCTACTCATAAAAATGGCAAAGGGAAGTCTTCAAGCTTAAAGGACTGAATGCTACAGGGAACTCTTTGGTACCTGCAGCTCTGTGGTCCCAGAAGCCTGCTGTGGAGGAAACCCTCAGGGCCAGGATGTGCAGGATTCTGTAGTGCACATGCATCACTCATTTTTCCCACAAGATGGCCAATATGTGCTAAAGGCATGCTGCTGCTTGTCAATGAATGTAAAACCTTTAGCCTCTATCCCTTAAATTAAGTGCATTATGTGCCCTTTTTAGGATGGGGGGATTACTATTACATTTTATTACTATTACATTTTATCCTACTTTTGGGGCATCTCATTTGCTTTATGGGAGTCACAGTTTTACAGAACTAAAGGCAAAAGAATGCTTAGCAGATCATGAGAGATGATTAAAAACACAATAGACAATAATGCAGGACT